CTACTCTCTTCTTCAGATGTGTAAGCATTTGTTGCGGAGGCTGAACCTTTTCCTTTGGGAAATTTGGAGTTGGATGGGTAGCCATGAAGTTTATAACATCTGTCCTTGGTGTGTCCAGATCTTTTTCAATAATCACAAAACAAGTGTGACTTACCAGTACTAGAGTTACCTCTGAAGTAATTGTTGTTAGAATTTCCAGAATTATTTTGTCCTCCTCTGTATGAACTATAGTTTGTCTTGAAATCTCTACTGGTGTGGGGGTGAGGTGCAGATGCGTTCAGTGATGTGGATTCCAAAGCAACCTGGTTAGGGGGCTTCACTTCTCGTTGCCTTTCCTCTTGAGATAGGATAGCAAAAGCTTGTGCCATACTAGGCAAAATTGTCATCATCGGGATATTTCCCCTCACAACAGTGTACATCTCATTCAATCCCATTAAGAAATGTATGAGCCTCCTGTCTTGTTCAGCCTTGTGCATCTTTGTTTTTCCACCACAGGTACACACACAAGTGCATTGAGAAGTGATATCGATTGTGTTCATCTCCTCCCACAACTTCTTCATTTTTGTGTAATATCTAGTGATATCTAGAGTTCCTTGTACCAGATCATTTATTTCCTTTTGAAGTTGGTACAATTTGCATCCATTTGTTTGGTCATATCGGTCCTCTAACTCCTCTCAAAGTTCCCTAGCATTGTTCACATATTTGAGTCCATCTCTCAAGTCAGGTGAAAGTGAATTTAGAATCCAAGAGGTCACCATATCATCACATCTCTCCCAATGTGCAAAACTTGGATCAGCAGAGTCTGGTTTCACAATCTTCCCGTTGATGAAACCAGTTTTGCTTTTCACCGACAAGGCTCTAAGAACTGCTCTTCTCCAGGATTTGTACCCATTGCCATCAAAAACAGCGGGTAGCAATGTTGAACCTGCATTCTCTGAAGGATGTAGGTAAAATGGACTAGTAGTGTCCATTCTGACAGTGGTTGTGTTGTTATCAGTGTTTGAACATCAACCCTATTTGAACAGTATTCAAAAAAAATGAAATCGATTGAAAATGAATGAAAATGCGATAATGATTGATCGTAGAAATTGGAAGAAGATCCAAAAAGTTGAAAATGGGGCAACAACAAATCAACTGAAACCAAATCAAATCGGAATGAAGATAACAATAAATTTGGAAATAGGGCAACAACAAATCAACTGAAACTGAATCAAATCAGAATGAAGATAACAGAAAAGATCCACAATATTGTAATTCCGTAGTTTGTAAGAGGAAAAGTGAGACCAACACAATACTCACAATCCAGAGTCAAATGCGAAATGAAAATGCCTAGTCCCTAGCTCTGATACCATGACAAAATTAGAAACAGAAATACTGGAATGAACTTGAGTTCTCCATTAATGGAGCTCGAACTCAGAGAGAAGGAGAAATTGAATAAACTTCGAGAAGAGAGAACTGGAAACTGATATTTTGCATTCTTACTAACTGAAAAATAAACATTACATTGATGTGTTTATATACACATTCATGAGAAAGGAAATTAGCTAACTAAGAAATTAATCTGACACTTCTAACAGACTTAACTAACTTTCTAATTCTAACTACTTCTAACTAATATGACTCTCACTAATTTTATCAACGGCGGCGAACTGGATAACTTTAGTCGGGAACTACCTGGAACACCGTCGTATCTACGAGATTTGAGATGAGCAACTCACCAATGGCGAGGGGAAAGGGTATTAGGAAATGGGTTTATTAAGTTAGTTGGGTGGGTCTATACACGTAGAAAATTATATTGAAAGGAAATTTTTTAATTAAGATAAAAATATATCCACGTAGTGCAGAAACATGAATAAATATTTACATGTATAAGTTGGATGGTAAGTGGTTTGCCGGCTATTACATTGTGAGGGTTTATTCAGTGCACACAATGTGCTTATCATAGAGTGTTCACTCGCAGGACAAAAATTATGGCAAAAATTGTAGTTATTGGGGATTATCTAGGGTTAAAAAAAGAAAAGGTCGAATGATAAGAATAAATATATTTAAAAAGTATGATGATGAGTAATATAAAAAAAATTGAGAGGGACGACAAATATGATCTTTTTTCTATATGTAAAAATAGAGTTATCAAAAAGGGTCAGCCCAGCCCCACCCGACCCAAGCCTCGCGGGCCAGGGAATTTGATAGGCTAGGGCGGGCCGACCCTTCATTTGGAAGGACCTGAAAGTATCCAACCCAACCTAATCCTAGAAGGGCCGCGGGCTGGGGCGGGCTAGCCCATATTTTTTTTATTTTTTATTTTCAAATTTAAAATTCTATAACATCAAGAAGATGAGAGGATTTTCAAATCAAATATGACAAATAATGGTGTTGTTTCAATAACACTAGCAAAAAGTCTAGTTTTATTAGCATGTATCTAGGATACTAGATATATGTATCTGGTGTGATGCATCCTAGATACGCGAGTTTGATATGAGAGTGGCGAATGAGATGGAAGGGAGGCGAGAGCGTGAGATTTGTCTATGTATCCTAGATACATATGAATTCAGAGAGATAGAGTGTATCTAGAACAAATCAACTTAATTTGAGTCCATGTATCTCGAGATACATGTATCTGGATGTACCAAAATCTGATAAGATTTGTAATATTACAACATAGCGTGTCTTTAAGTAATTAGCTCATACACTAGAGAGATTTATGTAAGTTACCCTTAAATAAATAGTTTTGGCCCATGTGTTGACCCTAGCCCAGCCCCGATCAAGCCTCAAGGGCCAAGAGCTTATATAGGCCGGGCTTATAAGCCTTAGTTTTAAATGGGTTTAAAAATAATATATCTCAACCCTACCCCAATAACGGGTTGGGTTGTGCCGCCCCCATGGACTAAACCCATTTTAACAACTCTATGTAAAAGTAAAAAACGCTATATTAAAAAATTATATTACCCAATTGTTTATTAAATATTAAATAACCATTTTAACCTTCATCTAGTCACTACTCTTGTTTATAAATGTTATACAATACAAAATACAAAGAGCCACCTTATCATAATAATGTTAAACCTCTTTTATTGATTTATTTACTTAAAGTTTGCCTTTCAACTCTTATTTAAGTCCCCTTCTTTTCCAATGTAATAAGCAAAAATGTTATTTTTTCTAAGATGTTTCTGAAGTTTTGATTGAAAAAAAAAAACTCTGAAGTTTTAATGATTTAACAAAATTTGAATCTGATTCCAGACGAAACTAAGAGTTATGTACCTATAAAAAGATAGTTGTCCAAAGTTGCAGCCTGTTGTGGTTGGTGCATATCTTTTAGCATAACAAGACTCTCATCCAATGGCAGTAATGGCAGTGTTCCAAGGATTTGTGTACAACTTATATTTGTCTTTTCTTTAACAACAAAAAATAGTTTTTTTTAATCCAAAAAAAATAAATATCACAAGCTCAAAAAGGCAAAGGTCATTCTCACAAGAAATATTATTCGGAAAAACAACAAGGGACCTGATAGAATTATCATTGTTCTTAGTTATCCTCTAGGTTTATATTTCTAAGCTTATCATGTGTAGATCTATTATGATCATGTGTTATAAAGGAATTAGATCGGCTGCTTGTCTGAGTTTTTAGCTTTGAGCCGTATTAACTATAGTTAGTCGAATCTACTATATTCTAGTCAAGCGTCTTTTCATTTTTGTTTGATGTTCTTTTGAGTAGAGTTGTCTAAAAGTGTCAACTAGAGTTAGTGTAAGTGTGATGCGAACTTTTGACCAAAGTAGGTCATTATTAAAATCAATTCACCAAAATAGTATTTTTTTTTTGAAATTTTACAAAACTAGTATAAACGCAGTTCTCAGTAACGTTTTAGGTTATATTTTATTCAAAAAAATTCAATAACAAAAAGACAAAAATCTGACAGGGTAAACATATATAAAACGTTATTGTCAGTAATGTTTTATAATTCGTTACTCTGAAGCACGTTTTACAGTTAAAACGTGACTCACATTAACGTTTCTCTGGAATGGCTGAAAATTAAAATTCAATCTTGTACATGCCTTATTCATTATTCAAATTTCCACTATTAAAATGAATAGATATATTTTTTGCTAATTAAGAACAAATCAGAAATTTGCTGCTGGATCTCCATGTCTCGTTTACAATTGTTTCGCTTTAGCATCTGTAGTAGCTACTATTTTGCATTTTGTACTCTGTAATTTAGCAGTTTCCTTCGTTCGATGGTCTCTGCATGGTCATCTTCCTTATGGGGTTGAACCTTGCAATGATGTTGTTCTAATGGATTGTATGTAATTAAATTGAAAGTTTTTTTTACCAATTTCTATCAAGTGAAAACGTTTCAGAAGGTGGAGAATTTCCTTCAAATGCTTGTCTTTGTTTACTTTATCCTTCCCAGATACCACTTGTGAGATTACATCGGGTATGAATTGAATATATGTGTGTGTGTGTATATATATATATTATGCTATCTTTAGTGTCCAAGGGAAGAAGATACAATAATAGTTTTGAATTGAAAATATCTAGGATATCATATAAACAATTGGCTAGACATTGTTTCATTTGTTTGTGAACTTCAAACTGGCGTATAAATCAGAACTAAATAAATAAACAAAAAGGACATTGTGAGGGTTAAGGTCACTATCTCACTGAACTTTACCTACTACTACTACATTAAAGGTCATAAAACTATTTTTTATCACATAAATGAGATTAACACTAACCATTAGCAAGATGTGCTCATAAGGTCTATTTTGTGTACAGAGGAGGAATGACATCATTGAGACCATTCCTTGAAAAATTCTTCTCATCATCTGCTGGTGCTGAGAAAGAAATGTGTATTGTGTATACGACAGTGAGGTTTTAACAGCCTTCACTATACGTCACAGACTTTTGACTTCTTCTTGGGCCTGCGAAGATGATATCCTGCCCACTAATTCTACTATAATTCCAACAACTATAAGCTTGGTCAATTGGCTTGAAATGTAATCACCAACCATGTTTTCATTGACTCTCAAGTCTTTCTAATTCATCAGTAACTAAAACAAACAGCTGAAAACTTTAGCCTTCAAGATGGTTCCCAGAATGTTTTCTTTCCTTCAGTTTTTCACTCTCTTCGCAGTTACTCTTGCTTCCACTGAGGAAACAACTGCTCTCCTCAAATGGAAATCAACTTTTCTAAAGCAGAACAATAATTCCTTATTGACTTCTTGGACAATAAGTACTGATGCGTGCAGGGATTGGTATGGAGTTGTATGTTTTAATGGTAGGGTAAACAGGTTGAATATTACAAATGCTAGTGTCAATGGCGCACTCTATGATTTTCCATTTTCATCTCTTACTTTTCTTGAATATGTTGATCTTAGCATCAACCACCTCTATGGTAGCATCCCCTCTGCAATAGGAAACCTCACTAATCTTGTCTATCTTGACTTATCGGCTAATCAGTTTTCAGGCACAATCCCAACACAAATCGGATCACTAACAAAACTTGAGACCCTCTACATCTTTGAAAACCATTTAAATGGTTCCATTCCAGGAGAGTTGGGGAATGTGAAAAATCTTGCTGAACTTGTTTTAGATTATAATCAACTTACTGGTCCTATTCCTGCTTCATTTGGCAATTTGAGAAACTTGCGTACTTTGTATCTCCATGCCAACAAACTTCATGGTTCCATTCCTAAAGGGCTCTCATATTTGGATAAGTTAAAAGCGTTGGTTATTAGTGATAATCAACTTTCAGGCCATTTGCCAAAGCAGCTTTGCCAAGGTAGGAAACTTGAGATCATCAAGGTGAAGAACAACAAGCTGACAGGACCAATACCAAGAAGCTTGAGTAAATGCTCGAGTCTCAAAAGGGTTCACTTTAGTAACAACAGTTTCACTGGGAACTTGTCTGAAGCTTTTGGCATCTATCCAAATCTTCAGTTCATTGATTTGAGGCATAATGATTTTCATGGTGAACTCAGCAGTAACTGGGGGAAATGCAAGAATTTGACTGATTTGCGGGTTGCTAGTAATAACATTAGTGGTAGTATACCACCAAAGATTGGAAACGTCAAAGGGCTTCTTGGACTTGATCTATCATCGAATCATTTGGTTGGGCATATTCCAAAGGAATTCGGAAAGTTGACCTCTTTAGTTAAATTATTTGTGCAAAATAACCATATTTCTGGCAATATACCTGAGGAACTTGGGTCACTGACACGGTTAGAGTCCCTTGATCTGTCAAATAATAGATTGAATGGGTCAATCCCAACATTTGTAGGCGATTACATGAACATGTTTCTCTTGAACCTGAGCAACAACAAGTTTGGCCAGAAAATTCCAAAGGAGATAGGGAGGATAACTCATCTTAGTGTACTTGATTTGAGCCATAATCTTCTTGATGGAGAAATACCCGTTCAGCTAGCCAGTTTGCTGGACTTGTCAAACTTGAATCTTTCCCACAACAGCCTTTCTGGCCGCATTCCTGAAGAATTTGAAAGTTTGACTGGTTTGCAGGATGTTGTCTTGTCATACAATGAGTTGGAAGGTCCAATACCAATCAATAAAGCTTTTATGTATGCCTCGTTAGAAGGTAATAAAGGTCTTTGTGGAAATGTAACAGGATTTCAGCATTGCAGAAGGCCATCTTCTTCGGTGAAGAAGCACTCAATAGCAAAAGGTCGTAAACTCATCCTAATCACTGTACTTCCCATTATGGGAGCACTAGTACTTCTCTGTTCTTTCGCTGGTGCTCTCCTTATGTGTCATAAAAGAAGAAGAGTTAGAGATGTTAAAATACAGGACGAAGGTTGGCTTTCGATAACCATGTTAGATGGAAAGGCATTGTACAAGGATATCTTAAATTCCACACAAAAGTTTGATGCAACATTTTGCATCGGGCAAGGAGGACATGGAAGCGTTTACAAGGTAAACCTTCCACCATTGGGGAATGTAGCTGTGAAGAGACTTCACTCTTCATTTGAGATTACGCATCCCAAAAGCTTCATGAATGAGGTAAGGGCATTGGCAGGGATTAAGCATCGGAACATAGTGAAACTGTATGGTTTTTGTTCGAATGCACAACACTCATTCTTGGTATACGAGTACGTTGAGAGAGGGAGTTTGTCAAGTGTTTTGAGCAATGAAGTTGAGTCTGAGAAATTGGATTGGCTTAAAAGGGTCAATATCATAAAAGGTGTTGCCTATGCTTTATCTTACATGCACCACAATTGCTCACCACAGATTGTTCATCGAGACATATCAAGTAGTAATATTTTGCTTGATTCAGAGTTTGAAGCTTGTATTTCAGACTTTGGAATAGCTAAGCTTCTCATGCCAGACTCATCTAATTGCACTGCGCTTGCAGGCACATATGGCTATGTTGCACCTGGTAAGGTTTAACTTCTTATCTTTTTATTAACTACACGAACTAGAGCCACACAATCCTTACTGTTTTTATCAAATTTGCAAGTTATATTTTTTAAATTGTATTGTTTCAGAGCTTGCATATACAATGAAGGTTACCGAAATGTGTGATGTGTATAGCTTTGGAGTATTAGCATTGGAGATTATCAAAGGAAAACATCCTGGGGAATACATTACTCCATTAGCAAATTCATCGACTATAGATCATGTGCAGCTTAGTGATCTGATAGATGAACGTCTTCCATATCCTGAAGATGAAGTAAAAGATGTTTTGGTTTTTATTATCAAGCTAGCAATCTCTTGTTTGCTTGAAACTCCAAAATCAAGGCCAACAATGTACTTTATCTCTCATAGGTTATCATCAATGGAACCACGTCCACCTACTCATGTAAGACTAGCTAAATAATCTCTGATATGTAAGGTGTCTTTGTATGGAAATGAATAACCTTTGATACCAAGTGGTTGTGTAAGTAGTATAATGATTAATCATCCAAAATAAATCAAACAAATTTTGCTATATCAAGTTTTTAAATTGTGATGTTTTGACCAGTGGACTGATCTTGCTTTCTTTAACCATTTGGTATTCGGAACTCGTGATCTGATTGATTTGTATCCGTGTAAAATAGAATCCATTTAAGAGGAAACACTGTAGGGAAGTTTCGGCACGTATCATTGTCAGTCCACTTGGATTAGACTTAACTAAAGTTCAAATTGCTGCACATTTTATTGCTTTCCTACTGCTGTAGAACCTATGCAGTAGCACGAGCTTGATGATTTACTAGTCTTTGGCTGACTGTAGAAAATTACTTATAGGAAGGAATAATTGCTTCAAGGTACGTGACAGTCACTATTGTTTGTAAGGATAAGTTCGCCTTTTCCTCTTGTAATTTCTGGTTTTTTAAAACCGGCTAAAATAGTCATTAGTGAAGACTGGCATGAATGTGCAACTTTTGGTCGACGATGGAATAAATAAGCCCAACTATTAACGGATGGCATGACTGAGCCATTTCTGAAAGTTGATGGCATATATGATCTGTTTTCAAGGAACAGAGATAATATTTGGAGGAGTTTGTGTTTTCTGTGACTTTTTCTTCTAAAATAATAACTCTTGAGAGATTTTTCCAATATAATTATTCCCCACAACTGTAAGATTGAACAATCCAACCACCTTTTCCATTGTATTAAGTTCCATGAGTAGTGAGACATTAAATGTCATTGACTCAGCAAGCCATTAAATGATTCATTACAAATATATAAAGAACTTTATCCTGCACAAGTTCTTCACAACCAAAACAATCCGTTAGCCTTCGACATGGTTCCCAGAGTATTTTATCTCCTTCCTCTCTTATATCACTTCACAATTACTTTTGCTTCCATTGAGGAAGCAGCTTCCCTTCTAAAATGGAAATCAACTTTCCAAAACCAGAATAATTCCTTACTGGCTTCTTGGACACTAAGTCGTCCTGCTGCTGCAAAGAATTCTTCCATCCATGATGCATGCAGGGACTGGTACGGAGTTAATTGCTTTAATGGTCAGATAAACAGGTTGAATATTTCAAATTCTGGTGTCATTGGTACACTCCATGATTTTCCATTTTCATCTCTACTTTTTCTTGAATATGTTGATCTTAGCATGAACAACCTTTCTGGTCCCATTCCTGCAGAAATAGGGAAACTTATCAATCTTGTTGAAGTTGCTCTTGATACGAACCAGTTAACAGGTCATATTCCTCCAGAAATAGGCAACTTGATCAATGTAAAATTGTTCAGTGCTTTCTCCAATGAATTGTCTGGCTCCATTCCTATTGAAATAGGGAAGATGAAGTCACTTGTGGAGTTAATGTTATACAGAAACAATCTTTCTGGTTCGATTCCAAAAGCTTTAGGTGAATTAACCAAGCTCAAAATTTTGTACCTTTATGTTAACCAAATTTCTGGTCCCATTCCTACAGAAATAGGGAAACTTGTCAATCTTGTTGAAGTTGATCTTGATACAAACCAGTTAACAGGTCATATTCCTTCAGAAATAGGCAACTTAATTAATGTAAATTTGTTCTATGCATACTCCAATAAATTGTCTGGGCCTATTCCTGCAGAAATAGGGAAGATGAAGTCACTTGTGGAGTTGATGCTAGACACAAATAATCTCTCTGGTCCAATTCCAAAAACTTTGGGTGACTTAACTGAGCTGACAATTCTTCACCTTTATGAAAACCAACTTTCTGGTGCCATTCCTGCAGAAATAGGTAAACTTGTCAGTCTTGTTAAAGTTGATATTGATACAAACCAGTTAACAGGTCATATTCCTCTGGAAATAGGCAGCTTGATTAATGCAGAAGGGTTCTATGCTTACTCCAATGCATTGTCTGGTTCCATTCCTGAAGAAATAGGGAAGATGAAGTCACTTGTCGATTTAAGCTTATACAACAACAATCTTTCTGATCCAATTCCAAAATCTTTAGGTGACTTAACTGAGCTCACAATTCTGTACCTTAATGCAAACCAACTTTCTGGCCCCATTCCTTTAGAAATAGGAAAACTTTCCAACCTTGTCGAACTTGATCTTAATACAAACCAGCTAACAGGTCATATTCCTCCGGAAATAGGTACCTTGAAGTCACTTGTGGACTTAAGATTAAACACAAATTATCTTTCTGGCCCTATTCCAAAAGCTTTAGGTGACTTAAATGAGCTCACAATTCTGTACCTTAATGCAAACCAACTCTCTGGTCCCATTCCTTTAGAAATAGGAAAACTTTCCAACCTTGTCGAAGTTCATCTTAATACAAACCAGCTAACAGGTCATATTCCTCCGGAAATTGGGAACATGAAGTCACTTGTGGAATTAAGATTAAACACAAATTATTTTTCTGGCCCTATTCCAAAAGCTTTGGGTGACTTGACTGATTTCACAACTTTGTCCCTTTATAAAAACCAAATCTCTGGTCCCATTCCTGCAGAAATAGGGAAACTTACCAACCTTGTCGTAGTTAATCTTGGTACAAACCAGTTAACAGGTCACATTCCTTCGGAAATAGGCAACTTGATTAATACCAAATTTTTCTATGCTTTCGAAAATGTCTTGTCTGGTCCCATTCCTGCAGAAATAGGGAAGATGAAGTCACTTGAGACTTTATACTTACAGAGAAACAATCTTTCTGGTCCCATTCCTAGTGAGTTGGGGAATCTGAATAAACTCAATGATCTGGTTTTATATGAAAATCAATTTACTGGTTCAATTCCTGCTATATTTGGCAATTTGAAAAACTTGCGGAAACTGCAGCTTCATACCAACAAACTTTCAGGTTCCATTCCAAAAGAACTTGCATATTTGGATAACTTGCGAGTGCTAACAATGACTGAAAATCAGCTTTCAGGCCATTTGCCTGAGCATCTTTGTCAAGGTGGGAAACTTGAGAACTTCATGGTGACTAGCAACAAGCTGACAGGGCCAATACCAAGAAGCTTGAGCAACTGCTCGAGTTTTAAAAGGGTTCGCTTTAATTACAACAGTTTCATCGGAAACTTATCTGAAGCTTTTGGAATCTATTCAGAGCTTCAGTTCATGGATTTGAGCGACAATGATTTCCATGGTGAGCTCGGCAGCAACTGGGGGAAATGCGAAAATTTGATTGATCTGCGTGTAGCCAGAAATAACATTAGTGGTAGCATACCACCAGAGATTGGAAACGTCCAAGGGCTTCTTGGACTTGATATTTCATCGAATCATTTGATTGGGCAGATTCCAAAGGAATTTGGAAGATTAACTCCTCTGGTAAAGCTTTTTGTGCAAAACAACAATATTTCTGGCAATATACCTGAGGAATTTGGGTCACTGACAAAGTTAGAGTCCCTCGATCTATCAGACAACAATTTGAATGGATCAATCCCAACGTGTATAGGAGATTTCGTGCACTTGTTTCAGTTGAACCTGAGCAACAATAAGTTTGGACAGAAGATTCCAAAAGAGATGGGGAGGATAACTCATCTTACTGTACTTGATTTGAGCCATAATCTTCTTGATGGAGAAATACCTGCTCAGCTAGCCAGTTTGCTGGACTTGTCAAACTTGAATCTTTCCCACAATGGTCTATATGGGCGCATTCCTAAAGAATTTGAAAGTTTGACTGGTTTGTTGGATGTTGTATTGTCATTCAATGATTTGGAAGGCCCAATCCCTAATAATAAAGCTTTTATGATTGCTTCGTTAGAAGGTAATAAAGGTCTTTACGGCAATGTAATAGGATTCCAGCCCTGCAAAAAGCCATCTTCTGTGGTGAAAAAGCACTCAATAGCAAAGGGACGTAAACTCATTTTCATCACTGTACTTCCTGTTATGGGAGCACTAGTACTGCTCTGTGTTTTCATTGGTGTTCTCTTTATGTGTAATAAAAGAAGGAGAGTTAAAGACGTTGAAAGAAGGGATGGTGATGGTTGGCTTTCGGTATCCATGTTAGATGGAAAGGCATTGTACAGGGATATCTTAAACGCCACAGAGGAGTTTGATGCAAAATTTTGCATTGGGCAAGGAGGACATGGAAGTGTTTACAAGGTAAACCTTCCATTATTAGGAGATATAGCTGTGAAGAGACTTCATTCTTCATATCAGAATACACATCCCAAAAGCTTCATAAATGAAGTAAGGGCATTGACTGAGATTAAGCACCGAAACATTGTGAACCTCTACGGCTATTGTTCAAAAGCACAACACTCGCTCTTGGTTTACGAGTATGTAGAGAGAGGGAGTTTGTCGAGTATTCTGAGCAATGAAGCTGAGTCCAAGAAATTGGATTGGCTTAAAAGGGTGAATATCTGATGAAGGTTGTTTTTGTATGTGATGCTAAGTGATGTCATGTTAGTACTTTTGTCTTGATATTTTTGGTATAACTTTTAAATTAATTTTAATACAAAGTTCTAGAATGTAGAAGATATTGTAACATGTGGTGGAGCTTGATTTAAGCACAAAATAGGGAGTCAAGTTTCCAGGATTTAAGGGATTTGTCACCACCTTATGTATCTATGTATATATGTAAGCTTTTGCTGAATGAAATGATCTGCTCCCTTTCTCTAGATTATCTTTCAATTATCATATTTGTCTTCTCTTTCTCTCCTTCAATTGGTATCAGAGCTAAATTGATCTTTTAGGGACTGTTTTGAGAGAGAAAAACACAGCAAGATCACCTACCAAGTTTAATTTGTCCAAGTTTTTTTTGTTCAGTTTCCTTTCACATGGCCTCTAGCAGCTCTCCCATTTCACCTCCTATCTTTAATGGCGAGAACTACCAAGTTTGGGCAGTGAAGATGAAAACATACTTGAAGGGTCTTGGATTATGGAAGTATGTTGAGGAAGACAGCGCTCCAGAACCTTTGAGAGCAAACCCAACTCTTCAGCAGATCAGAAGTCATGAAGAAGAGATCGCAAAAGGTCCAAAAGCCTTGTCTTTCATTCACGCAGCTGTCTCAGATTCAATTTTTACCAGGATCATGACATGTGAATCTGCCAAAGAAGCTTGGGATATGCTGAAACAAGAATTCCAAGGGAGTGATAGGACGAGGCAAATGCAAATATTGAATCTAAGAAAAGAATTTGAGATGTTAAGAATGAAAGAGACCGAAAAGGTGAAAGATTATATTGATAGAATCATGAAAATCGTCAATCAGATCAGATTGTTAGGGGAAAAAGTAGAAGAGCAGAGGATTGTTGAGAAGGTGATGGTGACACTTCCAGAAAAGTTTGAAGCAAAAATTTCCTCAATTGAAGATACTTGGGATATGTCTCGTGTCACATTGAATGAACTATCCAATGCTCTTCTAGCAATGGAAAAAAGGAAAGTTTTTAGAGAGGAAGAGAGTACAAGTGAAATCGCTCTTGTGGCTGCTCAAAGATCCAAAGCTCAGTTGGATGGTGAACCAAAAAGCCAATAAAATGGAAGATATGGTAAGGAGAAGAAGGAGCAATCTAACAACCGAGGGAGATATAGAAGATCCAAGTATCCACCTTGTCCCTATTGTAAAAAGACCAATCATGCAGACAAGTTTTGTTGGTACAGACCTGGAGTTTAATGCAAGTTGTGCAAACAGTTTGGTCATGTGGATAAGGTGTGCAAAATAAATCAAAACCAGCTAGCTCAAGCTCAAGCCCAGCCAACTCAAGTTACTGAAAATGTTGAAGATCCTGAAGAAAAGTTGTTTACTGCTTCTATTGCTGGAGAATGCAATGTAGCAGCTCAAGATCATGATGTGTGGCTTGTTGATAGTGGATGCACGCATCACATGACAGCTAACTTGAACATTTTTGAATGGCTAGACAAAAATTATTTCTCCAAAGTCAGACTTGGAGATGGCAGACTTGTAGATGCAACGGGCAAAGGAGCAGTTGTTGTTCAAACTCCCTCAGGTATGAAGATTATATCTGATGTATTATTTGTTCCTGAAATTAGCCAAAGTCTTCTCAGTGTCGGCCAATTGATTGATAAAAATTATGCCCTGTTATTTAAAGATAAAACATGTGAAATCATGGATCCAACTGGTATAAAATTGCTCTCAGTCAAAATGAACAACAGAAGCTTCCCTCTTGATTGGAAACATATCGACATTGGAGCTTATGTCAGCATTCAGGATGAAACTTATGTCTGGCATAAGAGGCTTGGTCACATTAATTTTAAATTTTTAAAATTGATGCAAAATAAGGATTTTGTGGCAGATATGCCTTCCATAAATGAAACCTTTAATGTATGTGGGGTTTGTCAAATTGGGAAGCTAAGTCAATCACCATTTCCTATTAATCAAGCCTGGAGAGCTACTGAAAAGCTCCAACTAATACACACTGATGTGTGTGGACCTATGAGCACTCCTTATAACGGCAGCAAATATTTTCTTTTATTCATTGATGACCTTAAGAGGTTTTGTTGGGTTTACTTTCTGAAACATAAATCTGAAGTATTTGTTGCGTTTCAAAGGTTTAAAGCAACTGTTGAAAACCACTGTGGCTCTTTGATAAAAATCTTATGGTCCGATAATGGGACCGAGTTCACTTCCAATCAATTCAAGGATTTTCTTCAGAAAGCAGGAATTCATCATCAACTTACAGTCACTTACACACCACAACAAAACGGTGTAAGTGAAAGAAAAAATAGGTCCATTATGAATATGGCTCGGTGTCTTCTATTTGAGAAAGGTCTGCCTAAGGTGTTATGGGCTGAAGCTGTAAATACCGCTGTCTATCTACAAAATAGATTGCCGACGAGAGCAGTTGAAGGAAAGACTCCATACGAAGCATGGATTGGAACCAAGCCATCAATTGCTCATCTTAAAGTATTTGGCTGTATTTGTTACTCTTATATTCCTGACGTTAAAAGGGATAAACTTGATCAAAGAGCTGAAGTTGGAATATTTGTGGGATACAGCAGCACTTCTAAAGGATATAGGATTTTAAATCCTGTTTCACAACAAATCCATGTAAGTAGAAGTGTTAAATTTGATGAGGATGCTGCATGGGACTGGAAGAAGATGGTTGTTTCTTCTTTCCAGATCACTAATCAAGAACAAAGTGCCCAAGAAGAAGAGCTGATTCTAGAGGAAGAGGAGGACTCTGATGATTTTGCAATAAGAGGTACCAGATCCATTGAAGATATATATAGCAGATGCAATGTCACTATGTTGGAGCCAACAAGTGTAGACAATGCATTGCAAATTCCTGAATTGAGGGCTGCCATGGAGGAGGAGCTCAATATGATTAACAAGAATAATACATGGGTACTTGTACCTAGACCTCCTGACAAGCAGGCTCTTGGAACTAAATGGGTGTTCAAGATTAAGCTTAATTCAGATGGCACACTCAACAAGTACAAAGCAAGGTTGGTTGTAAAGGGGTATGCGCAACAGCATGGAATTGATTCTCATGAAACCTTTGCACCAATTGCAAGGTTTGATACCATTAGATTGCTACTTGCAGTTGCAGCACATCAAGGTTGGCAAGTATTTCAATTGGATGTTAAGTCCGCCTTCCTTAATGGGTACCTTGAAGAGAAAATTTATGTAGAGCAGCCTGAAGGTTTTAGAGGAGCAGGAGACCAGGTATATTTGTTAATAAAAGCTCTTTATGGCTTGAAACAGGCACCTAGGGCCTGGTATGCACGGATCGATAGCTACTTACTGAATTTGGGGTTTAAGAGAAGCTGCAATGAAGCAACTCTGTATATTAGACTTCAAAATGATGATTTTCTCCTAGTTCTCTCTATGTTGATAATCTGTTGGTGACTGGCAGCACACAGTCTATCAAAGACTTCAGGGAGCAAATGAAGAAGATCTTTGAAATAAATGATCTGGGAAAAATGACGTATTTCTTGGGAATGGAGGTTAATCAATCTTTTCAAGGAATCTTTGTTTCTCAGAAGAAATATGGTACCGAAATATTGAAGAAGTTTTGTCTTGACAAATGCAAACCAGTATGTACGCCTGCAGTTCAAGGAGAGAAACTGATGAAGGAGGATGAGTCTGGTTTCGTCGATGCTTCAATTTATAGAAGTTTGATTGGTTCCATGTTGTATTTATCAGCCACGAGGCCTGATATTATGTACGCAACAAGTGTGCTATCAAGGTTTATGCATTTACCAACTGAAACTCACCTCAGAGCAGCCAAAAGAATTTTGAGGTACATTCGAGGCACCATTGATTATGGTGTGTTTTATAAAGAACCACATCTATGAAATTGTTGGGGTTTACTGATAGTGACTGGGCTGGGTCGCAAGACGACATGAAAAGCACTTCAGGATATTGTTTCACTATCGGATCAGGTGTCATTTGCTGGTGCACAAAAAAGCAAGGGTCCGTGGCTCAATCAACAGCTGAAGCAGAGTACGTTGCTGCCTCTGGTGCTGTTAATCAAGCTCTATGATTGAGAAAAATCTTGATTGACTTGGGGTTTCATCCAAGCAAAGCAACTGAAGTCCTTTGTGATAACAAATTTGTTGTTGCCATGGTAAAGAATCCAGACTTTCATGGAAAGACTAAACACATTAAAATCAAATACCATTCCATTCAAGAAGCTGAAAGGGAAAATGAAGTTCATATTTTGTATTGTTGTGGTGAAGATCAACTAGCTGATATTTTTACCAAGGCGCTGCAGAAACAAAGATTTGAGCTTCTTAGAGCTAAGCTTGGAGTATCTAGCAACACTTGCATCAAGGAGGAGTGATGAAGGTTGTTTTTGTATGTGATGCTAAGTGTTGTCATGTTAGTACTTTTGTCTTGATAATTTTGGTATAACTTTTGAATTAATTTTAATACAAAGTTCTAGAATGTAGAAGATATTGTAACATGTGGTGGAGCTTGATTTAAGCACAAAATAGGGAGTCAAGTTTCCAGGATTTAAGGGATTTGTCACCACCTTATGTATCTATATATATGTAAGCTTTTGCTGAATGAAATGATCTGCTCCCTTTCTCTAGATTATCTTTTAATCTCTCCTTCAATATCATCAAAGGTGTTGCTTTTGCTTTATCTTACATGCACCAGGATTGCTCACCGCCAATTGTTCATCGAGACATATCAAGCAGTAATGCTTTGGTTAATTCTGAGTATGAAGCTCGGGTTTCAGATTTTGGCATAACGAAGCTTCTCAAACCAAACTCATCCAATTGCACTGCACTTGCAGGAACATATGGCTATGTTGCACCTGGTAAGGTCTAAATTTAATTTATATTTTATTCAGACTTCATGAACTATAGCCAAACACTCTAAACTGTTTTTATCTCATTTACACATCTAAATTGTTATACCATTTTTGGAAATTGTATTGTTTCAGAGCTTGCCTATACAATGAAGGTTACGGAAATGTGTGATGTCTACAGCTTTGGAGTATTAGCATTAGAGATAATCAAAGGAAAGCATCTAGGGGAATATATTACTGTGCTAGCAAATTCATCGACTATAGATCATGTGCAGCTTAGTGATTTGCTAGATGAACGCCTTCCATATCCTGAAGATGAAGTAAAGGATGTTTTGGCTTTAATCATCAAGCTAGCAAGCTCTTGTTTGGTTGAAATTCCAAAATCAAGGCCAACAATGCACTTCATTTGTCATAGGTTATCATCAATGGATGCAGTCCACCTACTCATGTAAAGTGATCTTTGTAATCCCTGATATATATGTAAGGTGTCTTTGTATGAAAATGAATAACATTTTACACCAAGTGGTTGTGAAGTAAGTTATTTTGATGAAAAGGTCCATGACAGAATTATTACTAAGAGTAGTATTGTTGTATTGTCACTTGTCAGGGTGCTTATCTGGCTTGTTGTTTAGAGTGTATAATATAGATGGTTAATGTTTATTGAGCCAAAAAGTAATGAAAACAAGTTTCACATTTGCTAAATACTGATTTCAAGGAATTTCTTTGCATACTTCTTTTAGTTCATAAACAATCTCAACCCGTGAATACTTCTAAAAGATGATTCACACTGCAATGCATGTGAAAGAATGATGTATGTAAATCTAAACTTTAGGGACGTGTATATAGAAAGAAAGCAGAGGGCATGTCGGGGCTGGGCTGATCTTTCTTGTTTTTAATTTTGTTTATTGGATTTGGATAATAGGCCCAAATGAGTTGTGTACTGAACTTTGTGTTGGGAAAGGCAAGCACAAAATAAATGTGCACGACAGGGTGATAGCGAAAGAAAACTCAAGTCAAAACTTTCCCTTCTATTTGAACCAAGATAAGACAAAATAATGCAAGAACAAAACAGTTTGGTCAGCAAACAAATCAACCAAGCAAGAAAATAAATCAACACACGAGACACCAAAGTTTAACGTGAAAAAACTCTTCGGTGTGAAGAGTAAAAACCACAAGGTCAAAGCTCCACTATGATCAACAAGATTTACAAAAGTTTTCTCCAAAATGGTCACCAATAAAGTGTCAAACAATGGGCAACACAACTACAAGATAGCACCAAAAACTAGAGAAATAAAGGAGCATAAACATCAAACCCGCAGCTACTGTTTACGAGCTAAAATCTGGAGCTACAGGACTCCAAATCACTCTCTCTCAGTTCCCAATCAAAGATCAAGTTGAAAGGAACAAGCTGTCCAAAAATCAGCTCAATCGGATAAGAAACGAAACGGGAATCGCGATTTAAAATTAGTTGTTAGGTTTTGTGCAAAAATCTGCACTCTCTCACTATTCTCTCCATATGGCTGCTCTCTAACTCTTGTGATTTTCTCAAAATAAGACCTAAAAAAAAATTTTACATATGCACCATAATATTGAACTTATGGACAAAAGTAGGCTAGTCAAATCTTGGACTTTTATTTATTCACGTAGGAAGGAAAAAATGCCCAAAACCCGACACTTTGAATAAATAAAAACCAAAAATTTGCCCAAAAAAAAAGAAAGAATGTTGTATGAAACTAACATCAATAAACATGCACCTTGCAAAATACTGGAGATATTTCGCTTGAGTTACTAGTGAAATAAATTTCTTTGAGTTTCTTCTGCAGTTTTTTAAAAATAGCCCATGGCAGTCATTTCGAATCGAAGCAAATTTAAAGAAGTTTAGAATCAGAGTTTTGCTAAGTAGTATTCCTCTGGAGCCAGAAAATGTCAGAAGAAGGGAAATTTTGGTTATTGGCTTTAAGTGTTTCTTGCAAAGATGAAATTTTTTACTGTCTTTGGAAATCAGAAGTTTGATTTTTTTTTTTCGTTCTGTTTTTGCAGAGGGTCACCCAGCCAGAATCTGTATGGTACTCTTTCTCCTAGCATTGGTAATTTGACAAATCTTCACATTATATGTTACATCAAGGAACAGACTTTTGACACCTTCTTCTTGGGCCCGCGAAGATGATATTTTGTCTACTATTTCCGCAACAACTGTAAGCTTGGTCAGACGTTTTTTCTGATGATATGCTAGTTGTCTTATTTTTTTTTGTTGTTTAATTTATTGTCCAGCCACTTTTGGGCTGGTCAGACGTTTTTTCTTTTTTTTTTGAACAACTTTAGTACTTTATATATATAAAATCGGCCCAATTGGGTCAAATTTCAATTAAAAAAATAAAAAAAGCTGTAAGCTTGGTCAATTGGTTTGAAATGTAATCAGCAACCATGCTTTCATCTAATTATACCTTGCACAAGTTCATGAATAACCAAAACAAACAACTGAAACCTTTTAGCATTCAAGATGGTTCCCAGAATATTTTCTTTCCTTCAGATTTTCACTCTCTACACGGTTACTTTTGCTTCCACTGAGGAAGCAGCTGCTCTCCTCAAATGGAAAGCAACTTTCCGAAACCAAAATAATTCCTTATTGGCTTCATGGACACTAAATTCTGCTGGTGCCAAAAATTCTTCAAGAATCCGAGCGGCAAGTACTGATGCATGTAGGGACTGGTACGGAGTTATATGCTTTAATGGTAGGGTCAATATGTTAAAAATTACAAATGCTGGTGTCATTGGCACACTATATGCTTTTCCGTTCTCATCTCTCCCTTTTCTTGAATACCTTGATCTTAGCATCAACCAGCTCTCTGGCACCATCCCACCAGAAATTGGTAAGCTCACTAATCTTGTCTATCTTGACTTGTCCATCAATCAGATATCGGGCACAATCCCACCACAAATCAGCTCACTAACAAATCTTGAGACCCTCCACATATTTGACAACCATTTAAATGGTTCCATTCCTGGAGAAATAGGTCACCTAAGGTCTCTTACTGAGTTAACTTTGAGTACTAACTTTCTTAGTGGTTCAATTCCTGCTTCATTGGGGGATTTGAAGAAATTGTCTTTTTTGTATCTTTCTGTGAATCACCTTTCTGACTCCATTCCTGTAGAAATAGGGAAACTTGTTAATCTTGTTGAAGCTGATCTTGGTACAAACCAGTTAACAGGTCGTATTCCTTCGGAAATAGGTGGTTTAACTTTGCTCAAGACTCTGCACCTTCATACTAACCAACTTTCTGGTCCCATTCCTGCTGAAATAGGAAAGATGAAGTCACTTGAGAATTTAAATTTATGGACGAACAATCTTTCTGATCAAATTCCGAAAACAATTGGTGACTTAGTTGAGCTCAAAACTCTGTACCTTTTCACCAACCACCTTTCTGGTTTCCTTCCTAGTGAATTGGGGAATATGAAGAGTCTCATTGCTTTGGATTTAGCCGGTAATCAACTTATTGGTTCAATCCCTAGTGAATGGGGAAACCTGATAAACCTCACTAATCTAGCATTATCCCGTAATCAACTTACTGGTTCCATTCCCACAGAAATAGGGAAACTAGTCAATCTTGTAGGCATTGATCTTAATAGTAACCAGTTAACAGGTCATATTCCTCGAGAAATAGGTGACTTGACTAAGCTTAAAACTTTGTACCTTTATACAAACAAACTTTCTGGTCCCATTCCCAGTGATTTGGGGAACCTGAAAAACCTCACTGATCTGCATTTATTCAATAATCAACTTACTGGTACAATTCCTAGTGAGTTGGAGAATCTAAAAAACCTCACTTTTCTGGACTTATCAAGTAATCAACTTACTGGTTCAATTCCTGCTTCATTTGGCAATTTGAGAAACTTGCAATTTCTAGTACTCCGAGCCAACAAATTTTCAGGTTCCATTCTAAAAGAGCTTGCGTATTTGGATAACTTGAGAGCGATGATAATGAGTGAAAATGAGTTCTCAGGCCATTTGCCAGAGCAGCTTTGCCAAGGTGGAAAACTTGAGAACTTCACAGTGTCTAATAACAAACTGACAGGGCTGATACCAAGTAGCTTGAGCAAGTGTTCGAGTTTCAAATGGGTTCGCTTTAATAACAACAGTTTCACTGGGAATTTGTTTGAAGCTTTTGGCATCTATTCAGAGCTTCAGTTCATTGATTTGAGTGATAATAATTTTCACGGTGAACTCAACAGCAACTGGGGAAAATGCAAAAAGTTGATTAATTTGCGCGTAGCCAGAAATAACATTAGTGGTAGCATACCACCAGAGATTGGAAATGTCAAAGGGCTTCTAGGACTTGATCTTTCATCAAATCATTTGATTGGACAGATTCCAAAGGAATTTGGAAAACTAACCTCTCTGGTTAAGCTTTCAGTGCAAAACAACAATATTTCAGGCAATATACCTGAGGAACTTGGGTCACTGACAAAGTTAGAGTCCCTAGATCTATCAGACAACAGATTGAATGGGCCGATCCCAACGTTTATAGGAAATTATCTGCATCTGTTTCACTTGAACCTGAGCAACAACAAATTTGGTCAGAAAATTCCAATTGAGATAGAGAGGATAACTCATCTTAATGTACTTGATTTGAGTCATAATTTTCTTGTTGGAGAAATACCCTCTCATCTAGCCAATTTGAAGGTTTTGGTAAACCTAAATCTTTCCCACAATGAGCTCTCTGGCCGCATTCCTGAAGGATTTGAAAGTTCGACTGGTTTGCAGGATGTCGTATTGTCATACAATGAGTTGGAAGGTCCAATCCCTAATAATAAAGCTTTTATCAGTGCCTCATTGGAAGGTAATAAAGGTCTTTGCGGCAATGTAACAGGATATAAGCCTTGTGAACTATCTTCTACGGTGAAGGGACATAAACTCATCCTCATCATTGTGCTTCTTATTATGGGAGCACTAGTACTACTCTTTGCTTTCATTGGTGTCCTCTTTATGTGTCATAAAAGAAGAAGAGTTAGAGACATTGAAATACAGGATGCTGGTTGGCTTTCGATATCCATGTTAGATGGAAAGACATTGTACAGGGATATCTTAAACGCCACAGAGGAGTTTAGTGCAACATTTTGCATAGGGCAAGGAGGACATGGAAGTGTTTACAAGGTAAACCTTCCATCATTAGGGAATATAGCTGTGAAGAGACTTCATTCTTCATTTGAGAACACACATCCCAAAAGCTTCATGAATGAAGTAATGGCATTGACTGGGATTAAGCACCGGAACATTGTGAATCTCTATGGGTATTGTTCGAATAAACAACACTCATTCTTGGTTTATGAGTATGTGGAGAGGGGGAGTTTGTTTAGTATTTTGAGCAATGAAGTTGAGTCAAAGAAATTGGATTGGTTTAAAAGGGTGAATATCATCAAAGGTGTTGCTTTTGCTTTATCTTACATGCACCAGGACTGTTCACCACCGATTGTTCATCGAGACATATCAAGCAGTAATGTTTTGCTCGATTCCGAGTATGAAGCTCATGTTTCAGATTTTGGCATAGCTAAGCTTCTCAAACCAGAATCATCCAATTGCACTGTGCTTGCAGGCACATATGGCTATGTTGCACCAGGTAAGGTCCAATTCTATATCTTTTTTTCTAAACTTTGTGTAATATAACCCAAAATTCTATATGGTTTTTATTTTATTTAAACATTTAAAATGTTAATACTTTTTTATGAATTGTATTGTTTCAGAGCTTGCATATACAATGAAGGTTACAGAAATGTGTGATGTCTATAGCTTTGGAGTATTAGCATTGGAGATAATCAAAGGAAAGCATCTTGGTGAATACATTACGTCACTAGTAAATTCATCGACTAAAGATCATGTGCAGTTTAGTGATTTGCTAGATGAACGCCTTCCATATCCTGAAGATGAAGTAAAAGAGGTTTTGGTTTTTATCATCAAACTAGCAAGCTCATGTTTGCTTGAAAATCCAAAATCAAGGCCTACAATGCACTTCATCTTTCGTAGTTTATCATCAATTGATCCATGTCTACCTACTCATAAGATAAACCTCCATCAAGGCAAGCTGTATAATCCCTGATACGTTAGGTGTCTTTGTATAGAAATGACCTTTGTTACTGAGTGGTTGTGAAGTAAGTAGTTTAATAAGAAAGTCCACAATTTAATTTTACTGGTACTAGTATTGTTGTATTGTTAGGGCGCTTGTCTGGTTTCTGTACTAGAGTGTATACAATGTAATGTTGAAGGTAACTATTTAATCTCTTAGTGCCAAAAAGTATATTTAAAAAAACTTATATCATGTTTGATAAGTACTGATGTTATAATAGGATTACTTTGCATATTTCTTATAGCTAATGAAAAATCTCAAATAAACATCTCAATAATTAAAAATGTGTACATAAATATGCCTCTTAAAATTATGACTGTACTCCTCTTACCTACCCTTCTCTTTTTCTACTGTGTACTATGTACAAGCTAACATTGAGTTGACAGAAGAGGAAGTTTTACAGCTAAATCTCACCAAAAATTCCTTAATCATTTCCATTTATAACAAAGTTTTAAACGTCTAGACTTGTAACTATTTTTTTTCTGGGGGTGTCACATGTTCTGTTTCTATACTCTATTAATTGGTCTTCAACTTCAAGCTACTCTATATATAGACCAATGTTGAAAAATAAAACTTCGTTTTAGATCTCTTCAAGTAGCTGACAATTGAGAAGGGAAAATGGAAATTGGTGGCATGGCTGATGATGGACAAGATAGCGATAACCGCTTTAATGGGAAGATAACATCTGCTGTTGTCATCACTAGCATTGTTGCTGCATCAGGTGGCCTCATTTTTGGATTTGATATTGGCATTTCAGGTTAAGTATGCTTGTTTGTTTTTTCGTTTTCCATTATATTAGATTGAATTCCAGTTATTGACGCTGAAACAGCTGGTAATCGTAGGATATGAGAAAATTAATTGGGCACTGAAAAACTCTTTTTGTTTTCCAATAAAGACTCATGTACACCATCAGGTTACTTTTACCTGTTGTAAGTTCTAACAGGTAACCTGTCTTATTTTCAAGATGACAAGTCCCACATTTTAAAGAGGTTTACATGTAAATATTTTTCAAGTTACCTGATAGTGTAAAGAATTTCTTACATTGATGGTGTATATAAGTTAAACTATATGATCTCTAAATTTTGCCTAGTATATATAAAAAGTTATGATTAGTCACATACGCAAAATTAACACTAACCATTGGAATGTCTTTGTTGTGCAACTTATTGTCACAGAGGTTTAATCAATTTAATTTGTACATCAGGTGGAGTGACAACAATGAAGCCATTCCTTGAAAAATTCTTCCCATCAATACTGAAGAAGGTAGCATCTGGTGGTGCTGAACTAAATGTGTATTGTGTATACGACAGTGAAGTTTCAACAGCCTTCACGTCATCACTCTACATTGCTGGCTTGGTTGCATCTCTCGCAGCTGGTCGCCTCACGACAGCCATAGGACGAAGAAGCATAATGGTAGTAGGAGGCTGCACTTTCTTTGCTGGTGCACTCATCAATGGTGCTTCTCAAAATATTTTTATGCTCATTTTGGGTCGCATTTTATTAGGCTTTGGTGTCGGCTTTACTAACCAGGTAACAAAACATAGAGTTTAGTAATCTTATACTAATAGTGTGAGAATTATGTATATCACCAGTCATTATTACCGTTAAATTCCTTTTACAGGACATAGATCAAATTGACTTTCTGCATTTGTATTTCATCATGATATTTGTGCATGTATTTGAAGGCTACTCCCGTATACCTGTCAGAAATGGCACCGTCAAAATGGCGTGGTGCATTCAGCACAGGCTTCCAATTCTTCATTGGCCTTGCCGTTCTTATTGCAAATTGCATAAACTATGGCACCTCTAAGCTCAGCTGGGGATGGCGCCTTTCCCTCGGCCTGGCCATAGTCCCAGCCGTGACAATGACCATAGGAGCACTTCTCATTTTTTCCTTTAAATAATATTTCTGTCAGGTTCAATTTGCAAACCACCTCAACTATATCCTCAAGTACCTACTACCTCCCACTGGCACAAGTAATGAGTAATACTACAAACTAAAGCTTAGGCAGATGAAAAGAAATCACCTAACACTTTATTACGCGGCCTCTATTTTGTTAGGCCTAAAGTTGAAGGCTTCAAATATATGTTTTGTGACCAAATGCTTTGGCGCAGGTGCACTTGTCATATCCGATACACCTAGCAGTCTAGTTGAGCGAGGAAAAATCGAGCAGGCAAAGCAATCTCTAGCAAAAGTTCGAGGAACCAACAACAACACTGAAATTGAAGCAGAGTTAGCTGATCTTATTAAGGCTTGTGAAATCGCAAGAGCTTCAAAGGAAGAGCCTTTTGTGACAATCTTAAAGAAACAACATCGACCTCATTTGGTCATGTCCATTGCCATACCATTTTTCCAGCAAATGAGTGGGATTAATATCATTGCATTCTATGCACCTGTCCTTTTCCGATCAGTGGGTTTAGGAAATAACTCAGCTCTACTTGGTGCTATTATTCTTGGAGTAGTAAACGTTGGTTCTATCCTTGTATCTGCTTGCATTGTTGATCGATTTGGACGGAGATTTCTCTTCATACAGGGTGGAGTACAAATGTTCATCTGCCAGGTACGTGTTAAAACTCGAGTGATGACTCGTTAATGAGTTCATGTTTTGTGCAATCGAAGTAGGGCTGGCAAGGGGACGGGGACTGGGGGACAGGACGGGACAGGGGACGCCTTGGCCAGGATTTTGGGGGACCGGGATTGGGGGGATAAAAATTCGTCCCATCCCGTCCCACTATATATACGGGATGGGATGGGGTTTGGCAGGACGGGATGGGATGGGACGTGGGATTTTTATTTTTTTTTATATGTTTATTTATTTGTATTGAAATTATATGTTATTAAATAGCATTTTTAGTTTATTTAGTTTTCAATAACATTTTTAGCTAATAAAAAATGCTTAAGTTTTCAAATTTCAAATTTGAGAAGTTCAAATTTGTATTTTAAATAGTTTAAAAGAATTTAACTTGAAATTTCAAATGTCAAATTTCAATTTTTAAATAAAGTATTTTAAAATTAAAATTAAAATGCAAGACATAGTTATATAAAAAAGACTTGAATAAAGCCTTCAAATTTATTCAATAAAATCTAATTGCAACTTAAAACTTAGAAGTTACAATTTACAAATATTAGTGGAGTAACTAATATACACAGCCACCTTCTAGGAAGGGTTCTGTTTCAATAAGTTTTCATATGTAAAATTAATATTTGTTACAAATATTAGAGTAACTAATTTACGCAGCCACCTTCTAGGAAGGGTTCTGTTTCAATTAGTTCTCGGATGTAATCTAATATTTGTATTCTCCTTTAAAATTCAATTCTAATAGTCGCATCATATCGACGGTAACATCCTCCGATGTTGGCAAACTTGCTAGAAACTCTTGTGACTCTAATTCATCATCACTAAATTCAATTACCGCATTAATCCAAGCTTCTTGTTTGGAACTTAACCTTGGCAAATTATGATTCCTCCTCTCGGCGTTAACCCAGTCTCTAAATAAAACTGATGTTTCCAAACTTTCTTCCGCCAATGAATGTCTATGATCACCAATTTGAAACCTTGCCGCACTAAAAGCAGCCTCCGATGCAACTGATGAAGCTTGAATAGCTAGAACATCACGAACCATTTTGCTCAAAATTGGAAATGCAATGCTCCGCCTCCTCCACCATGCTAATAAATCTTCATTGTCATCTTTGTCTTCCACTGTTTCTAAAGATTGATTAAGATATTCTTCAAAATTATCACGGTTAGAAGAATTAAGACCAAGAAAACCTCGCATATAACTTGAAATTCGAGCTTTACTTTGAGGATTAGAAGTTTGACCAACTTTTCCTTGAGTATTTCTTGTAGTTCTATATTTTTCATACAAAAATTTTGCTTCTACTTTTATACTAGACTTGCACATTTCACAAGTTGGAATTTCTTCCGGTAAAATTTCTGAAGTATCATAAAAAGTGTCAACAAGTCCCTGCAAACCTTGTAATTTATAGTCAGGATGAAGTAAGGTAGCAGTTAAATAAATTTGAGGAATAGGAAAAAAAAAATTAAATTTTTCAAATCATACATTCAATTGCAACTCTAAATTTTTCATTTTTTTTGTATTTAGAAAATTGAATTGAAATAGCACAAATATTTATTAATACTGATGAAATAGTAGGATAATAAATTCCAGAAAACATGGTTGTAGCATTATAAAAAAGTCTTAAAAATTCTAATAGTTCATTAGTTTCTTCCCAATCTTCTTCACAAATTTTATCTAATGGGTCAGCATTATGAGCATTAAACACCGTTTGTACGAATCCTTTATATTCGTAAGCAACTGAAAGCATTTTGTAAAAAGAATTCCACCTTGTTTTAATGTCTTGGAATTTTTCTTGGTGGCAAATCACATAATACACAACGCTCATTAAATTCCCTAATTCTAGCAGCTCTATGAGCATAAAAATCCAGGCAACAACATATTCAATTTTCATACAACCACAATCAAATAATGAAATACCATTTTGTACAACTAAATGTAATACATGTGCAACACATCTAACATGAAAAGTTTTAACATCAATTGGACATAATCTAACTTTTAACATACTAGCAGCGTTTGTATTATTAGATGCATTATCTAATGCGACAGACATTACTTTATCTATAAGCATGTAATAATTTAGAACACTCAAAATATTTGAAGCTAAATATGCACCAGTTATTTTCTCTACACATTCTTTATAACTTAAGATTATTGTTTGCAAATTCCAGTTATGAGAAATCCAATGTGCTGTAATAGTTAAATAATCATGTCCATTAACACTACGACTCATGTCCGAAGTTATTGACACTCTATAATCTAATATGCTAAATATACAACGAAGATATTGACAATGTTTACCTTGATATACAAAAACATCAGATTTAACAGTATTTCTTGAAAAACCTCTATAAGTAGGATTATAAGTTTGTTGAATATATTCAATAAATCGG